CCACAACCAGATGACCCCGGTCACAAGCCTAATTATCTCTAGGTTTAGGCATTGATTTTCCCTGTCAGGTGGGTTACGATTTCAATAATTTCTTGAGCTTTTATACTTAAAGCGAAGTAGAAAATCTCAAAGATGTACTTACTGCTGTTCATTCTATACATCAAGTTTAGTTCTTTTGGATCCGCGCTACAAAACTATGTACAAATCGCCCGGATTTATTTCCTTTTAATGGGTAAGAAACTCACATTTCTGAACACCTCTTAAGTAAAAATGCGAGTTACATCACTTGGCGAATTGTCCACACTTGGCGAACTGTGTGTATACCGAACGAAATGCGCTCTTAATTTGACCAACCGAAAGTGCAAAATTACAACAAGCAATTTAAATGAGTGATAATCTTTCATTTTTGTGTCTCATTTTTATGCCCGTTCATTTTTATGTCTCATCGTCAGTGTCACTTTTAATGATATGGATGGCTAAATGTTTAGTTGTCATGAAAGATTATAGTCAGATGAAGTGTGCAGTTAATTGATAAACTTATTTTTAGAGGTGATCGATTGAATGATTGGTAAAGAAGTGAACGAAACTGATGCTAGCGAAGTGTCACCATCGTTACGCACACAAAAAGACCGCAAATCAGTGGGTAGTCACTCGAGACATGCATTCAGCAGTGTAGAAAGAGACCGTCGAATGTTGAATGCAATTCAGTCAACATTGAGAGCCGAACGATCACCGAATAAACCAGTAGCACTACATGAGAAATGTGATAATGATGAGACGCACAATGTCGGCTCTGTACCGACAAACGCTCAGGAAATTATCGAAAAAATGACAGCGATGACTATTGATAAACAAACACCCGCACAAGATATACGTTCGTTTTTTGTTTTTGTAATTATGTTTTTGATATTTTTAATTTCAGTTCCATTCATTTTATTCACTAGCGCTGTTAGTATTGTGGTAGTTACTAACACTATTGCTGATACTGTTGAACTAATCTTGCCCGGAGTTAATTCCAACAGTATCATTCCAGGCCGACTGTTATTAGCGCGTGACGTGCAGAAATTAGGCGATGAAACATGGGCACAGTTGGGAAATTTGCTCGCCGATGTGGCACTGGAGGAAAATGGTGCACACTTGGCAGTTGATATGACTGTACTCGTTGTAGGTACAGTTGTCTTTTATACTGTCTCTCATATTCTCAAAAGTATTTATTTTGATCGAAATATGTGGAACGTTAGAAGCTTGGTTCAGTTGTATTATTCAAATTTCTCTTTGTATTAAGCATACCAGTGTGAAAATCGTTGTAGNCCTAATGAGAACGTTTCATTTAATTTTCATTATGTTCATTATCGTTAATCGAGTGCGATCGAATTAATTCTTTTCAGATCACAGAAGTTTTCAAAAGTCATTCTCCGAACGTATCAGTTCAGAGATGTCATCCTATGTTCTATGTCCTGAAATTGCAAAATCATCTTTACCTGAACTAGTCGCATTATTACTCGTCGCCTCTTGGCCACGACCGCACTCTCGTAGTAGTGATGATTCAAATCAAATACTTTACACGATTATTTCATCTATAAAAGATTGGCTTGTCACCCTCACTGATGAGGTTAGAATTCTATTCTTTCTGTTATGTATCTGATGAACGTATCAATTGATGTCCGTTCTTCGAACAGAACGCTAGTGCATGTTTTTATTATCGGAATTTTCCGATGTGGTTGTTGTAATGAGGTGATTGAAGGTGGAAGACGATATTGAAATGATGTCTCGGTGTGCTATAGGCATCGGCGAAATATGTCGATTGGCGCGATATCGCTTCTGGATGCAGTGGCCTGAACTTGTTGACGAAATATATGTGGCTATAAATAAAGTACTCACCTCGAATGTACCGTTAACTCAGTTGGTTTTTATCACTATTTCAATCTTCCTGATTTACGCATCGTACTTCGGTGATATCACGAAAATCATTCCTAATTTAAGCATTTACTGAATTTAGAGAATCGAAAACGTCGTTACTGAATGTGTATGTTCAAATGCATTCATGGAAACCGCGAACTGCAAAGTCAACTCTGAACGCCTGCACACAGACGACATTTTCATGATTTCTGTTGTTCTTAATTACATTAACGAATTTCTTTCGAATAATATTTTGCATCGATGACACGGATCATTTGGGCCGTTGTGCGCTTGCACTGAGCTAAAATGAGGGGAATCAACGAGTGACCACGATTGAAGGTTTTTACCTTTTTCATTGTTTCTTTACTAAATTATTCACTTTCTATCTTCTGTCGTAATTGTTGGTGAAGGGCTGGTGGGTGAGGTAACATGTTCTTTAAGAAAATGGTTTTATTTAAAACAATTCACTCAGCTGAGTTGTGTTTTACTTAATTTTATTGTTTTGCTGTTTATATAAATCGTTATAGATCGTTAACATTTCATGTATCGTTTTCGTGTCTTTTACGGAGAGTTTGATTAATCATTATGTTCTCTTTTGATAATGGTTAATCTCCTAACTTTTACAAGTGCATTCTTCTAACATTTCTCGAATCTTCTGTTTGTGGTATATTTATGCACTTTGGAATGAATCCTCAGTTGGTTATATTTGACCTTTGAATATTGCATGAAAATTATCAAAGTTTGTTGTAAATTTCTATTTACGTACTGATGTATTGTTTCTATCTTGATGACTATTCCATTTGTTTTAATTGAACTGTTTGAATCCCTCGGATTTTTGTGGTTTTTTTTCATGCGAAACTTGTGTAATTATTCCTGTCTGCTCATTTTCAAATATTTTAATGTGCTTTTTGTTCT